ACAGGTTGTTGTTGACCAATCGCATTAAAGTACGATACCATTGGAGTATTTAAATTGAGAACCCTCGGGGCATAGAGGCTCGCCGCTGCGCCGTCGAGCGCTGACGAATTTAAATAACGTGCGCACTGACCTTGTGAGGGCGGACTATAATTTTAATAATTTTAGAAAAATCGTTAAACATCGATGTATAAGTGGAGTACATCAAGTGAAGCAATGAAAGGGCGTTGTGTTTACTAGATCGGCGGAGTAATGTTGGATAAAAAGGCAAGGAGAGTCGCGCGGCGCGGCTCGTCGCAGCGTGTCGGCTAATTGAGCGGCTCACGCTATCGCACGGCGCGGTCTGGCCTCAATCAGAACAAAGTTTATAAGCGAATTCGCTTAATGGCGTGCATTTTTTTCAGTCAATGACCCAAAGGCAGAGTAACGCAAAGTAACGCATACATTTTATTGACGTGGCCCTTTGATAAGTGTCCCCCGGCGCAAGCGTCGGACCACCGAGCGCGCTGACAACGAGACTTACACACGATAAAAGTTGAAGGACCTCACTTCTCAAGCAACAAACAACGTACAAGTATATAAGTTTGAAAAATGCTCCCACGGCCGTATTGTTTTAGCGCTGTTTGCTATTTACTGGATAAATGTGTTTGAACGCAACTATGGAGATATTTTATCGCATCTTAACACGATACACTCGGTTAATCCAAGCGCTTTCGTTACACTTGTGAGTTATGTCCTCGTTATCTTGGTCACGCTTCTGGTTTTCCCTTTTTTAGTCAGATAACACTAAGATGTGGTGACTAATAACAATCCATCCATCCATCCATCAAATTCAATTGTAAAATTCAAATATAAAAATAAGTGAATGCGACCCTGTGCGAAATCTATTCATTGCGTCTTGTAGGTGACTGGAACTCACTCACCGCACCAGAACCACCGCTCATAATATAGCTAACAGGTGATAACTTTTAAAGTATTCACTTGTGCGGGAAAACATAAATATCGGTTTAACTTATAAAAAAAATCGTTACCAATATGATATGAATACAACTCTGTATGCAATAACTGTAATATGAATGATTTTATGAAGAGAATATCTTCGAAGTACATTTATAATGCGCAGTTTCACTCGGCGATTTAGTGCACAAACAAACCCGAAACAAGATGCGTAAGGAATTCCGAACGGCAAAAACCACTCGATGGGGACGATAAAACGAAATCGCCGATGCGTTGGCGAAAAAAAAACCGCGAGCGCTGCGTGCGAGCGAGACGCAAAAAACGTACGTAGCGGCGTTCCGCTCTGGCGCGGCCGACGCGCGCAGCTGCCTGCCCCCGCGCCCCGCGCACCGCACCCCGCGCCCCTCGTCGACACAAACTCATATTATTTATTTTATTTCCGCGCGAAACTACGAATTGGATCAACGGCGACAAAGAGCTTAAATTGCCCGTCCAAATCCCATCACAATCGATGTTAAACGAAACATGGACAGATGTAAACATTGGGCACAATGCGCGAGCGAGGACTGAATTGACGCGATGCGTCGTCCAAAAGAGCAGTCTATAGTCAGCCGGTATCGGCGCGCAGGCGACGCTGCTTTTTGTCGCATTGTACGATTACAAATTGAATAGGATACTTTAGTATTACCACGGGCAATTGTATGTAACAAATAATCAGACGTGTGAAAGTGAATTTCATACGAAAATTCCGAGTAACAAAGATGTTGTGAGCTATCATAAGTGTCATCACAATCTCTTAGCAAGTCTAGTGCTGTGCAATGGAAGATGGATTGCGGAGAAAATCCCATTGTGCATGATTGTGTATGAGCTGGTTTCTAAATCAATCTGTCCACAAATAGGTGATCTCTCGATCGCTCGCGGCGCGCCCGTTCGACCGAGACTAAATTTTTTCCCGGCGCTACTCGCCTCGTGTAATTACAAAGCTCATTAAAATCATTGAATTATTTACACATGAACGGCTGCGGTAATACAAGCGGAATTTTCCATACTTCATTTCAAAGGAATACATAATGAAAAGTAAACGCGATGAATTAAAATTATCATACGAATTACTTTGAGATGTTACAGCTGTTTGAGTATTAATTTTAATGGATATATAAAAAGGAGTTAGCAAGGAGATGCAATTAGGTGTCCTTGTAGAGCCGGGCGAGGCGTGGGGATGACACCCGAGCAGATCCTATCTCACGACACGCGTGCCTTCACTATTAACGACTGCCATTTTTATAAAGTTGACGCGATGGAATTCAAACATGACAAGACATGACCAATTAACCTGCTTATGGCTATAACATATGGAAAAGACGCAGATATAAATGAAAAAAATACTAAATGCTGTTTACTTGTTAATACAAATAAAACTTGATATACAGAATAACGAGAATTTTAACAATAAATGCTTTCCCGTGCTATCTTCATGAGGACAATTTGGCACTCGCGTGTCATGCAACTAAATATCCAAGTAGTTTTAAAATACTATTGTTATTAGATAAGAAACGTGTGATTAAGTCATAGTAAAAGTGTAGGGGGAATCTAGAATCGAGGTAACATTGTAGTGTCATTCATCAATGCATCACATAAGTCATGAATGAGCGACGCGGCGGCGCGGCGCGGCGGCCACCGGCACTCACTGACAATTAAAATTCTCGCAATTATATTTCATTACACGACACGCTATTAAATATAGTACTCTAGTCGATTACCATGACAGTTATATCGACTTTTTCCAGCTGCTATTTCAATCGAGCCGAAGACAATTGCAAGCTTAGCCAAATAAATGCTTATCTAACAATAAACAAGTTAAAATTGCTCGCGCATGGTGCGGTGCAACCGTGCGCGAGCAATTACGTTAAAGAATGCCGACGACACTGACATAGTCCACTTCGCGTCGTAACGAGCCGCGTCAAAAAAAAAACGATTTCATTAAAAATTGATTGGAATTATAGTTTTGCTGCCGCTAACGTAACAACATTATTACGTAGCCGGGCGTGATAGCGAGAAAAAATGCGCCGCGAACTGGCAACGATTCTAAACGCGTCGCGCCTTGCTCGTACACGCTGTTTTGAGTCACAGAGTAATAGGTAGATAATAAATCTAGTGCCGATTGACAACTGCTAATTCTATCGAATTATATATGTGAATTTGATATTTGTTGTAAACAGGGAAGCAATGGACAAGAGTTGGAGAGAAGAGCCGCGCGGCTGGCTAAGCCCGGGCGCGCAGTGGCGCCGCGCGGGGCGCTGCGGCCAGGCGCGGCCACTACGCTATATCAATCACTTCACAATCGCACCGCATGCCACTTAAATAAATTTATAACATATTAAGTACGTTGAAAATAAACACTTTACCGTTTATGATTTATTTGGTGCGCGGATGAATTATGAACGTCGCTTATTAAAGCGTTGCAGAGCGAGAGGTCCGAATCTTTATCTCTTTTTGTGTCGATCTCACGTGCCGCCGCCGCCGATAAACGTTTTATTGAAGTAATTAAAAGTGGCGATTAGCTCTGTGCGCGGTACATGTGTGAAACGATGATGTATGTGACATTTTACAACGCAATCGACACGACGATATTTTTAACGCACTATCACTAGCTGTCAGTCTGGTGAAGCGGCCGCGCGATATGGGATTTATTTGTCTTGCGAGCCGCGGCCCGCAAATAAACAAACCTGACTCAACGTTACGGCACATAAATTATAACAAGTGGTCAGTTCCATGACTTCTAGTGACGGCCGCTATCCGGCGCTATCGGCCGACCCGCGGGTCGCGATTCGCCGCGTTATTGCCGCTATAAATACCATTCAATTTCAATAATTAGCTCACAACGAAGTCTTTGACTGATAACGTATCGCCAGCATTGACTCCGCGTTCTGCTCAATAACAACAGAAAGTGAAAACACGTAAACAACGACCGCTTCCGATACAACATGACGCGGCTGTTTGACAATTTAATGCGTGCGCCCTGCCTGGAGGACGGCCGACGTTGTTTTTTAAATAGCCCGGCACCGCAACACGTCAACGCCTATTCAGCCTATTGTGTCACAAAAAAGAGAAAACCCACAAATATTTTGCGGTAAAAGAGTTTTATAAGAAAATTACACGTCAGGCGTCTGTCGGTCTGTGCCCAGATTGACGCTGCACGGGGCCCGGACTGCCACAAAATGACTCCATTTGTAAGGTTTTTTGTCGATCAAATGATAGGTTTTACACCGTCGATTCCCGTTGTCATGTTATTATCGAGGCCGCATAATGAAATATTGGTTAAATGAACTGCTGCGAGCACTTTCCCCACCGCATTCATGTATGCCATTTAGCAGTTTGAGACATGAAATATTAAAAAGTAGTTAATTCACCATAACAAAACAATTATGAGTTTTATGCTAGTTAATAATGTAGAAGTTGTAATTTCTAATTATAATTAGTTGTTTTCGTGTGATATTTGCAGTTGCAATGAAATAGTATCAGCATGTCGAATGCGGGAGTGTCGCGCTCGTAATGGCGGCCGTAAATCATAGTTAGCAATTCCTTCGGCGTTATGGTTTAATAACTATAAAGCATAATTAGCAACGGTAAATCTCGCGGATTGGATTGCCGGTGGGCGTGAGCTTATTGATTGTTTACGCGGCACGTTTACTACACGACCACGACACGCTCACGATACGGTCACAACAATTTGGCAACACTACTTTCTTTGTTCAAATACTCCGTACTGAATTAACCTGCACTCAAACGATCTTAATCGATTCGTTACGATGTTATTTTTAATTTCAGATAAGGCAGTTAATGTTTGTATTAATATGTACGAAATGTAAAGGAAATTATTGTTTCATTTAATCAGGTTAAGGAATCTTTGATCCCGAATTTACAGTAAGAAATAAATCATGCAAATATAATTTTGCTTGCATACTTTAACTTAGTCAATTGCAATCTAGTAATAATTCCATATGTTATTAGACTAATGTATAGTTGTATATTTTGTGGTACGTTACCTGTTTGCTGAAGACAGCGATGTCCTCGTTGAAGGATTCTGATGAGCAGACATCGCCGCCCGCGACGCCGGGGTCGCGCGGCGTGCACGTCGCCAGCTCGCACTTCTCGAAGATCAGTGCAAGCAGCGGGAATAGGGGATGCCTGGGAACATCAACACACCAAGTTACTCACACTGACCCCACACGACTCAATACAATCCGGAAATTTGGTTGTACTCCACCATCTATAGCTATTTCGGCGAATTCAGATAGCTGGTTTATTTGCGACCTTGTGTTGTACAAGTATCAAATTATATTGGCTTTTGCTTACTGCTATAAAAATAGTATCAATTCTTATTTTACTTATATTAGATTTTAACTCCTTCACACACTGACATGCAAGTTAACGAACCAATCAAAAGAATTACCACTCGCCACCATCGCTGTTGATGTTAAATGCCAGCAAGTTAAAGCAGTTGATTAAGAGTAAAAATATACTTTTATTAAACGCGTCCTACACGCCACTCTTCATTGTTGGACGCAGATATTTGTAATAAACGCTCATATGTGACGTTTAGACATTGACCTGCCGATTAACAGAGAAACGATCGGGCGACGTAACGACACAAAGGAGTATTGCGGTCACAAAAACTTGTGACACAAAGCAGTGTGCGCCGGCGTGCGCCACGTTACATGCAGATTGGCCCGACGTGACGATGATCTTATCTCTGCTATTGTGCGGCGCGGTGCGGGGCCACACTGACAGCGGGGGACTTCTAATCATTTCTAACAATTACTCATCGATTACCACTTGCTTCGATTCTACAATACAGTGATCTTGGTTGTGAAAGTTTAAATCTTGGTAATTTTTAGGCTTCGATATCAATTATAAGACTGTGTCAGTAATGAACGAATGGTAAAGAAAACCATGAAAAGTTGGGAAAAATGTTACAAAGAAATTCTATTGCAAAATTTAATATTTGCTAAGCGATATCAAATAAAATACACTTAAATGTAATATTAAGAACGCAGTCGAAATCCCTGCAACGTGTTTGGTTTCACGATGACGTGATTTCAAGACCACTTCTCTTAGATTCTCTGCCACGATTCCCAGAACCTATAAGGATTATCGCTAGTTGGAGGTCTTCCAAGCGTATAATATTACAGCATTAATACCAATTTTATCTATCTACATTGCTTTTCAAGTATTTTTATAATAATATTAATAACAAGGGATTTTGTTTAATAAGAAGATATTAGATTTGCACTTAAATTATGTATCAAAATTTATTTTTTTGATATGATAAACGATAAGTATACATCTGGGGTAAAGTTCAGATACTATAATAAAACCAGTAGACAAAGAGTTCAAAACAAATATCTGAAAAAGAGAGAGATTGCTTGGATATTAATTTAATAATTGTGAGAATAAAAGAGATTATTTATTGTTGTCGACAACAAAACAATTACGTTTGTACAAGAAATATGACCACATTCGCAGCTGTCCCAATTCATTTAGTTGCGATGCGTGCATTTAAAACAGAGGCAAAGAAAACAGTACTTATTATGCATAAGTTGCATCAAAAGCTTCCTTATTATGTAATTACAAGCATAAAAACCAGCGATACAACGGCCCGAGGGCGAACACACACGATAGAAATAACGCATTAATTGCAATTGCTTCTATAACGCAAAACCACAGAGTACAAAAAAATAAGAATTATGCGAATAACGATTAAAGTAACGATTAACCTTTAGACAATGCGAAGGGAACTAACACCGACAAGAGCCAGCGCTCGGTGGTTACGCTAAGTGACTGCTTCGATAATCATCCCATCGTACAGACACTTTTATTAAGTAACTAATTGGATATGACGTGAATCTAAAAGAAACTTGTCAATTTTAGACATTTTAAATACCAAAAATTGTTTCTATTATTGTATGAACGCTGTCAGTCGCGCCACACCCTCGACAGTAGCTCAAACAACTGACAACTTTTGATCAGATAAGTAGAGATCCTCGTAAAGCGTCTTAACGCGCTAAACGTCGCACCTCACATTATTAATCTCTAGATATAAGATCTAGGCAATAAAGTTTTATTGTGCTATTACGCAAAACCTAATCAATGCATCCTTATTATTATTCACTATAGTCATTTTATTTGATTTACAAATTGCTGAAATTGATGTTTCAAATGTATGATTCATTTACTTCGGTTTGTATTTTATTAAAATGATAAATATCTATAAATACAATACGTGTGATAAGGTATGTAGGAAGGCCAGTGCGTCGGCTACCGTGTACTATCTGATAGAAATTGTAAACCACGATTAAGGCGTCAAAAACATCCGATAAGACATAGATAAGACGCTTGTTATGTCGTCAAACGCTAATTAAATCGATAGTATGCGAATGTCACAACATTACAACTATATCGCATTTTTACAATTTTATACAATGTTATTTAAGCAAATATCTTGACAATAATCCAATTTCCTTATATGTAATTTGAAATAAATCACAACTAAAACAATCAGGATTTTAATTCTAGTATTTGTGTTTGTTGCAAAGGCTACAATATTATACATAAAATGTTCAGCTGCGTTCAAGACAAGGTATAAAACTTTTTATTTTACCAGAAAACATGTTTCTAATATTTGCTAGTCATCCATGCTGCCCTGGTAATTGTATTCGAGCTGGTCTCCTACCTCTTTAAAAATGTTTTCCAACTCAGTACAATGTGTGACGTAGTTTCTATAAAAACCATGCAGCACCAAGTCTGTATATATCAATAACATAAGACAATATGAGTACCCGAGGCGTATTGACGGTCGCTTTGGGTCAGCCAATAGCGTTGTATCTGCGAGCGAAGGTAAACACGTGGATGAGTTATGACGCCCGTAACCGTCTCTGATGCCAAATGATGGGAGGAGCGAATTATATAAAACAATTTCGATTTAAGGAAAGAATTTGTATACAAAAAACTGTATATAGGTAACAGTAAGCCAATATTAAGGAAAACTTTATCACAAGTATTGTCAAACTTAAATGCATAACATGTTAATAATAATGGAAATATTGATTCCTTTGCATTGATCGCTTAATCCTTTGACTTGGTCGTGGCCTTTTGCAGATTTCATCTGATACAATTTTATTTTACACTTTTGTTCGGCAAACTTTAAGACAACCAAATAAAAATGTTATAACTTAATAGCGATTTTATATACATAAACCAGAATAATTTAAGATTGAATGTGGATGGCTACAAAGGTAGAGGAAGACCGATGAAAGAATGGATGGATTGTGTGACAGAGGATATGATAAAGGAGTGGACTCAGATATGACCGCTGATAGAGATGTATGGAAGAGCAGCATACTGTGCCGACCCTACGTAGGTAAAAGGTTATGTTCATGATAAGTGATTTGATGACCTAAGCAGATATGTTTCTGTATCGATGTCAATAACCTTTAGAAGTGCAAGCTTTAGAGCAGACGGTTGCATATTATGCAAAACTTCAATCTGCTAGAGGATGTGAAGTAAATGAGGATGTATTCGATGTACATTTTATTGAATAAACTGAGGAAGGAAATCAATTGGTTAGTCCGGTACCACTAGGAGACTTCAAGAAAATTTAATAAGAAAATAACAATGAAAATTGACACAAAAAAACGTAGGGATTGTTGTTGACTGATGTAATGGAATATAACAGAAATAAGAAATTATAACACAATTATTCAGATTCTACCTTTATAATCTTATAGTGAAGGAAAACATCGCGATGCAACTTGCACATAAGGTCAAAGAAATGATAAAGATAAAAGATAAGTGTGAAGTCAAACTGCCAGTGTGATTGACAATGGCATTGTCACCCTTAACTTAGGATCTCGTTAGAGACGTAGATATTTATAAAGGCATAAATTTGATGGTAGATTTATTGGATGTTTTATCATTTGAGTGTTGTGGAGGTAGGTGTTAATATAGTAGGGCACACGTTACCACCAGACTCACCCGTATATGGCATCCTTGTCGCGCTTGTGCACGAGCGGCTCGCCGGGCAGGGCGTGCGCGGCGTGCGCAGCGTGCGCGGCGGCGGCGGGCGGCGCGTAGTGCACGGGCGGCAAGTGCGCGTGCGCCAGCCGGTGCTCATGGTACATCGCGCCGCCCTCCATGTAGCCCCCGCCGTGGAGGCTCTCGTCGTACTGTAACACACGACATATACTATCAGTATACCTGTCAGAAGATGCTCCAAGTGTACTGCAGGATGTTAGGTAAACCATCCATTGGCACAGCAAATGAATTGGAATTGGTGACTTAGACTACGTCTGTTACGAGTATATGTATATTTTTATTACTTTACATTCTTCTGATTTAAATAACAGAGTAAATTAAATACTGACTAGTCACAAAAATTATGAAGTTTGTATATGTTTGAGAAAATGTGTCAATCTGAACCGTAGACGCAGAATAGAATCATCCAAGCGTTACAAGTGAAGGCATAAAACAAAAGGAAAAGCATCTCAGCTGCAACAATTAAAAGCTAAGAGTGTGTACTCAAAAATAAAATAAATGTGCGACGCAAGCCGCATGAATATTCATTGAAAATAGTTAAGTCATTGAGATCGGTATCGCATCGGGCGCGGCCATCAATTAGCCACCTCGAGCTTTTAAAATACATTCCCGAGAGAGAAGCTTAGCGGCGAGAAAAAATGTTTGACAGCGCCTCTTGAAAGCTCCGAGAAAGCTATTAGCTTAGACGCGCTCCAACTTTATTTGTTGTGCTTTGAAAATGCATAAATACGAATAAAATAATATTAAAGTTATGGAAGACATTTTTGAGATTATTTCATTTTTAATTGATGCAATAAGTTAAAACAGAGTTTAGTTTTAAACTGTACGAGGTAAAATCCTGTTCAACAAAGGCTTCATGACTTGTGTGAGAACTCGACATACTATAGTGAGTAAAACCGCAGAATACAATGTAGTATCGTGGACACTGCAAGCGCAGTCAAAATATTATCACGTATCGGATTAACGCAGGCGAGGCAAAGATAAATAGCAGCTAAAAACTACTTGTATTGAATATAAATTCGACAGAGAATAATAAAAAATATAACAGATATTTCATAAGGTGTTCATATTTTACGGGATTAAGATATATTTATTTTACATTTTCGCATTATCTTCTTAACCCTTTACGCACCACAATGTGTTAAAGAGACCGGGATATTTTTTTGTATTTAAACTAGAATAATTTCTTTTATAAGTAACAAATGTAAATGTTTTTAACAATATTTTATTTATCTATTATACGTTTACCAATAAATACTTCACGTGTTGTTGAAATAAAATTTAAATCTCTTAATAGCGGTATTGAGATCGTAAAACCATCATCCTTGTCTATACCACTGCCAATTTACATCTCCATCAGAACAAACATTTTAGAATTCAGAAATGTGCCCATTATATCTATCATTAGTTATTTTTAGGACAAACTAAAGGTAATAAATATGAGGATATCATCAAAATGTGTTAATATAATAAGCACGTAATACGTTTACATTTAATTCATGTTAATATAACATCTGTCGCTTTGTAACAGGTGTTACCGTGTGGTGCAATTGACACTTACATATGAATTGCTTTTAAAATAACTAAGTTACGGTTATCGAGTTTTAGAGCATTTGTAAATATACTCACTACAGTCATAGATACGTATAGTTTTAATTTAACTGATTGTTTTGTAAATGGTATACAAGTGTTACCGATACGGTATTTTCATCTGTCAATTCATAAATGCAAATAAAACAGCCTCACCAGCTCGAAGTTTTCCTCCCCAACAGAACCATTGTTAACATCATGAATAATGCGTCTCCGTTGAGCTTTGTTTTTGTACACTGCGCGTCAAATGCCGCAGTGCAAAGGTTAAAGCCAGCCCAGTTCGTTTAACAATAACATATTTAACATATAACTGTACTCGGAAATATCTTAAGTTTGAAAAAAAATATTAAAAATGCATAATGAATTGAAAAAGTCCCTCTCGATTTGAGTTCAATATTGATACTATTTTCTTTTAAAACACACTATTACGTTTGCGTTCTTTATGTTCGTTAAATGTGGAGTTAGTTAAAAATTGTAATGAAAGAAATGGTTCAAGATCAAGTATTGATTTCGGCCTTATGCAAGCTAAATCTTCATGTCCTAATTAACTGAATCTGTGTAACTAATTTTAATTTAACAACACAATAAAGCAGTGAACGCGATGCTCGCCGAGGGAAGCCATACAGATGCTTTGCTGTAGGTTACAATGTCTCTGCACTAAACAGAGAGACCGACCGATTTTAATTAGATAATTCAAGCAAATCCTCTTGTTATGCACTCGACCGAGGTAAGTGGACACTGTTTTATATGTAAATATTTCCATCATGAAACTTCAGGCAATCCATCCATCTCTACACCGGTAGAGGTAGACTTAGAAAGAGATGGATGGATAGCGTGAAAGGTGACATGATCAAGGGAGTGATGACTGAGATGACGGATGACAGAGTTATATGGAGGACGAAAACACGGTAAGGCAGGGGAGATGATGATGATGATTTCCATCATGAAACTAAATAATTCCTTAACTTTATTCTCTCATGAATTAAAACGATTAAAGTACTAAATTTTTACCTGTTTAATTGCGTACTATTTTACATAATAACATACCTATATTAATGTTTTTTGAAACTGTAATTGTAATCGATGGGCCGGAATGTTCCACCCCGCGTCGGGCCAGCTGTTACGCACACAAAAAGACAAGCGTATATTTTATATAGATGCATATAGATGCGTTAATGACAGGTCGAGGCTATCGATCGGTCCAAACGGCACTGTCATCGTATTTGATGGCGCTGGCCCGGCCCCGACTCTTTTCACTGGCGCGCTTTTAACCGATCTTTACATCTAATAATAATAATAAAATAAAAATCTACAACACTTTCATAATATAAAAACATAACATCTATGTCGGTAACAAGCTAATAGTTGAATATTTTTTAATATAGAAATTCATTAAGAGATGGCATTGAAGTGGTTAATATTTCTAAGTTAGGACGTCGAGACGAAATTGTAGTTTATTATTAAGTAATTTGAAAGTACTCGAGCGTCACCTAATTGCATTACAATACGAAAGCACTATATCTAATTAATTTCGAGCGCACTCAGCATTGTCAGTTGTCCTCGCGATATCGAAACGAAGAATAGTTTTTAATTTCATTTAGTGGTAGGTTCATATCCTAATAAAATCGATAGAAATACATTTCTTACATTAATTCAATTTATTACTTTCTAATTATCTTATTTAATTATGATCGATAATAATATTGGTTTTTGTATTGTATCTACATAATAATTATTTTTCAATCGTGATGGAAAGTGGCGTGAATATGCTAGTTTGTTATATCAGAGTTGCAGAATTAATCTTTTCCATTTGTTCATATAAGAGGCTGTTTCCTTATGTACTGTTTTATTTCACTGCGTCTTATATGCTCAGTAAACAATGCTTAGGTACAGATAGAAAAAACAACTAATTAAGAATAATAATTTAATTTTATTAAAGTAATTCGAGCCGGAAATCTGACGCATACTTTTAAAGTCGACCAGGACTTTATTGATTTTCTCGATTCCAAAAAAAATATCCTTATTTCATAAATATAATGCATGTATTTTTATAACTTCCTTATGTTTTTGTTTCTTTGATAGCATTTTAAAGTACCTGATATAAAAATAATGTAAAGCACTTTTGCAGACCGTACTCGATTAACAGTTTATAGCTCATTCAAAACGTCATTTTATCAGTAAAGGCTTTATAGCCATTGTTCTAATAGATGGCGACACTATCGTGTTCTGCAGACCGTACCAACTACGATACGCATTATAAAAAGTTTCCTAGCATTTCTTTGAGCTATCCTGGTTACCATTAGATAACTGCATTTATTAAACGCTAGATGTCGCTACTAGAATCTACGCCTTTATTTTGGTTCTTATTAAAAGATACGTCCAGCCACTGCTTTAATTACAAACCAATAGATGGCGCTACTAAAATCATAACCTTAAATAGATGATACAAAATCAGAAGCATAATTTATATTGTAATTTGACTATTTCTTATAAAAGCTTGTTAATTTAAAAACAAGAAACAAGCTATAAATATTAATAACATGTCCTAATCCATCAAATATGATATAAAAATTATAAACAACAAACATTTTAATTAACACAACATAAATACTGACAAATAACTCTGACCTATTTTTAATTACATATTTCATAAGCATTACATAGCGTTTTGCAAACGATAGTATATTATTTATTTCGATAAAAGTTATGATATAATGATAACAATTGTTAATTTTTTAATATAAAAAGTTGTAGGAATTACAAATCTTAGTTTTGTAATTTATGAATGTTTATATTTCTATAGATAATAAAATTAGAGTGGTCATAGACTATAAATTGACAGAACGGTAACGTCATATATTTAAAAAAAGTTATTGGATTAAACTAAATAAAATTAAATAATATGAATGTAATATAGTAAAAGTTTGCATATTAATGTTTTTTAGATATCCATTTTAACTGACAAATTGAAGTAAAAATTCTATAAACAATCCAATAGCGATACGATCATCTTAGTATAGTTTTTATCAATGTTATAACTGCCTTTAATATGTTTACTAAGTATATTTTTTAACAAAACTGCATAGGAATGCGTTAGTTGGCAATAAGTGGCAAAAACTGTGAATGTTTTCGTCTTGCGGCGGCATTAGCAGCGCGAATTGCCCGCACAGATAATCTATGCAGTGGAGTTACAGCTTAACTGCCTACAGTCACGGAGCCTCTCGGAGAATGTGTGGAAAGCATGACTGACCTAAATGAAACAGGCTAAACGCTACTCAGTTTTCTTAAACTAGATGCAATATTCTATATTAAATAATACACAAGTAAATAAACTAAACCAGATATAAAAGTCTAGATTAAGGCTTTTGACTTTAACTGAGTAGGTGATACTTAATATAATTATAAGAAAACTTAGTTAAACTTAACTAGAGTTTATTCCCTTAGTTTTCATTTCAGTAAATTAAATTGACATAAAATCTATTACGGTACTAAACTTTATCAAAGACAAGACATAGATAAAGTGTAATTTAAACTCT